AGACTCCTCTAAATTCTGTTTGAGTTGGTTTTGTTTCGAAATTTTTCCAAACAGGAAATGGCACCGTTTTGTACATCATGATTGATTGCAGTGATGCTGTTTCAGATTTAGCAACTGGTTCATATACATATATGTCTGCTACATATGTTATGTTATGTTAACTTATCCATACACTCTCCCAGCCTCTTATCAATGCACTCATGTCGACGATGTACAGTGCGACCTTGCGCATGGTGAACTATCACGAAAACATTGAATGCACTATAGCCGTTCAGTGCAACCTTACTCCGTAAAACAGCATAATAAAACTTTGCACACAACCTGAAGATTTTGTATTCACTAGAAGAATTAACCAAACTATAATTATCATTTATTTCATTGTAAAAGCAACTTTACTTAAGTAAAGAGTGAGTGACGTAATTGTCGAAATAAGCAATAGTATAATGATATCAAGATGGATTGTAAATCAGTGGTTGATCGCATGAGCCACTCTGTCGGGCTATGCTGACACACCCTAGTCCCACTCCATATCCCTGACACACCCTAGTCCCACTCCATATCCCTGACACACCCTAGTCACACTCCATATCCCTGACGCACCCTAGTCCCACTCCATATCCCTGACACACCCTAGTCCTACTCCATATCCCTGACACACCCTAGTCCCACTCCATATCCCTGACACACCCTAGTCCTACTCCATATCCCTGACACACCCTAGTCCCACTCCATATCCCTGACGCACCCTAGTCCTACTCCATATCCCTGACACACCCTAGTCCCACTCCATATCCCTGACGCACCCTAGTCCCACTCCATATCCCTGACACACCCTAGTCCTACTCCATATCCCTGACACAACCTAGTCCCACTCCATATCCCTGACACACCCTAGTCCCACTCCATATCCCTGACACACCCTAGTCCCACTCCATATCCCTGACACACCCTAGTCCCACTCCATATCCCTGACACACCCTTGTCCCACTCCCTATCCCTGACTCACCCTAGTCCCACTCCATATCCCTGACACACCCTCGTCACGCTCCATATCCCTGACACACCCTCGTCACACTCCATATCCCTGACACACCCTTGTCACACTCCATATCCCTGACACACCCTTGTCACACTCCATATCCCTGACACACCCTAGTCACACTCCATATCCCTGACACACCCTCGTCACACTCCATATCCCTGACACACCCTTGTCACACTCCATATCCCTGAAACACCCTAGTCCCACTCTATATCCCTGACACACCCTTGTCACACTCCATATCCCTGACACACCCTAGTCCTACTCCATATCCCTGACACACCCTAGTCCCACTCCATATCCCTGACACACCCTAGTCCCACTCCATATCCCTGACACACCCTTGTCCCACTCCATATCCCTGACTCACCCTAGTCCCACTCCATATCCCTGACACACCCTCGTCACACTCCATATCCCTGACACACCCTCGTCACACTCCATATCCCTGACACACCCTTGTCACACTCCATATCCCTGACACACCCTTGTCCCACTCCATATCCCTGACACACCCTAGTCACACTCCATATCCCTGACACACCCTAGTCACACTCCATATCCCTGACACACCCTTGTCACACTCCATATCCCTGAAACACCCTAGTCCCACTCTATATCCCTGACACACCCTTGTCACACTCCATATCCCTGACACACCCTTGTCCCACTTCATATCCCTACAGAGAGACAGACATTGGGGTACAAGCTAGGAGTGAGTGAGTGAGTATGGTTTTACGCCGCTTTTAGCAATATTCCAGCAATATTACGGCGGGGGACACCACACAATGTACCCACGTCGGGAATCGAACCCGGGTCTTCGGCGTGACGAGCGAACGCTTTAACCACTAGGCTACCCGACCGCCCCTACAAGCTAGGACCCAGCCCTGACGGAAACTATAAGGATCTGTTCTGCCCCGGGAACAAACGGGACCGTGTTGGGTAAAGCTAAGGTACAGACACCATCAGCCATTGATCAGCTTGGTGGGTTTCCCTCTTGCTGATTAGTCATGTGTGAATGTTGAAATACACAGTGTGCCATGGTATGTTAATAATGTATCCGCTGTTACAGTTGATTGATAATGTATATGTGACCTCTCCTTGCCACGAAGATGTTTCCCTGTACTGGGACAACCACTACAAGTCTATTTGTGCACGTATCGTTTTAACACCAGATAATGAGGTCCTTATTGAAACATTAAATCACACTATATGTCGACAAAAGGGGCCACGGCTCAACGTAGACAACAGGGCTGTTCCTTATACAATCGCATACTGGCTATGGGGAGATCAAGGGTTTGAATCAATCACCAGGAACCGGTTTGATGGTCGTGAGAGGCGACTCTGTGGATCGGGTGGTCAGAAACGGTGACTTTGTTGTTTTTGTGTCAGCTTATCCAAACCGCTTAGGGTATTGCTCTTTATTTCAATCACTGGATTGTCTGGTCCAGCCTCGATTATGTACATGCGCCGCCGTCGTATTGCTGGAATATTGCTGCGTGTGACAGACCACTGGACCTGGTGCCATGTGTTGAATGGTTTGTGGTAGTTTATTTAAACATGGGTGAAATGTTTGTATATAAGATAAATATATATAATTAATAGCAATTGTATAAGCTCAATATCTAAAGATCAGAAATTGCCATATTACGATATCACGTATAACACAGTTATTCCAGTGTCAATTTTAAGAACAGTCAATCCAATGTCAATTTTATGAACAGTTATTCCCATGTCAGTGAACGGTTATTCCGATGTCACTTGTAAGAACAGTTATTTCGATGTCACGTATAACAAATGTTATTCCTGTGCAAATTTTAAGGGCAGTTATTACCTTGTCACGTTTAGGAACAGTTATTCCCTTGTCACGTTTAGGAACAGTTATTCCCTTGTCACGTTTAGAAACAGTTATCCCTTGTCACGTTTAGGAACAGTTATTCCCTTGTCACGTTTAGAAACAGTTATTCCCTTGTCACGTTTAGGAACAGTTATTCCCTTGTCACGTTTAGAAACAGTTATTCCCTTGTCACGTTTAGGAACAGTTATCCCTTGTCACGTTTAGGAACAGTTATTCCCTTGTCACGTTTAGAAACAGTTATTCCCTTGTCACGTTTAGGAACAGTTATCCCTTGTCACGTTTAGGAACAGTTATGCCCTTGTCACGTTTAGGAACAGTTATCCCTTGTCACGTTTAGGAACAGTTATTCCCTTGTCACGTTTAGAAACAGTTATTCCCTTGTCACGTTTAGGAACAGTTATTCCCTTGTCACGTTTAGGAACAGTTATTCCCTTGTCACGTTTAGGAACAGTTATTCCCTTGTCACGTTTAGAAACAGTTATTCCCTTGTCACGTTTAGGAACAGTTATGCCCTTGTCACGTTTAGGAACAGTTATGCCCTTGTCACGTTTAGGAACAGTTATCCCTTGTCACGTTTAGAAACAGTTATTCCCTTGTCACGTTTAGGAACAGTTATGCCCTTGTCACGTTTAGGAACAGTTATTCCCTTGTCACGTTTAGGAACAGTTATCCCTTGTCACGTTTAGGAACAGTTATTCCCTTGTCACGTTTAGGAACAGTTATCCCTTGTCACGTTTAGGAACAGTTATTCCCTTGTCACGTTTAGAAACAGTTATTCCCTTGTCACGTTTAGGAACAGTTATCCCTTGTCACGTTTAGGAACAGTTATGCCCTTGTCACGTTTAGGAACAGTTATCCCTTGTCACGTTTAGGAACAGTTATTCCCTTGTCACGTTTAGGAACAGTTATTCCCTTGTCACGTTTAGGAACAGTTATTCCCTTGTCACGTTTAGGAACAGTTATTCCCTTGTCACGTTTGGGAACAGTTATTCACATGTCACGTTTAACAGTACTGATTAGAAAAGCGGTCACCAGGATAAATTAAAAGTATTAGCTTTTTCCTCAATAGCCATGTGTACTGCACAAACATGTTGTTATCTTTTTTCCTCATAGTTGTAACATGAAACTATACGAGTGACAGTAGATACACCAGAGCGCTGACAATAGCTACGTTCCAATCCTCTACTCCCGTGTGTTTTATGTGGGTTTTAACATAAATAACACTGCCCAAGTAGTGTTTTCTCACAGCTGATTTCATATTAAAAGATTGAACATAGACGACAATGCGTGATGTCTCTGTAATCATCATCTTCTTCACATTTACTGAACACAGAATGTGGATTTTGTTTGAACCAGGACAAAGTTTGAATGAGTCGATGTGGTACATCGCCACATTCCAGCAATATCACGGCTGTTGATAATTAGAGGGTGCTATAAACAGTGGAGAGTGGAGAATCGAACTGACGTGATGAGTAAACGCTTAAACCATTTGCCTACCCAACTACTGACAAAGACAAAGATATGAATCCATATATATAATATAACACAAGCCAAGAGTCTTTACTTGAATACGAACGGCTAAATATTAAGTGCCCAACTAATGTAGCTAAGGGGGGTGTAGGGGAGGGGGTGGCCGGTAAGAATAAGGGGTTGTCGGGTGGGGAGTCATGACAAAAAAAAAGAATATATTTTTTCAAAGTTTTTCAAAGTTATAAATTAGAACACTGTTTAGAGACTGTTCATTTTAGAGACTGTTCATTTAGTAATCGGGGGGGGGGGGGGGGGGGGGGGGGGGAACATGGACTGGGGCGGTGTGTGTGGGAGGGGGGTGGATGCTCGAAAATGTTACATTAAGTTCGGGGATCAGCAAAGTATGATACCGACCAATTCCGCCATCCCCCACCCCACTTCTTATAATAAATGGCCAGCCACTTAGCACTACTTAATTAGCACTGACGTCCGGGTATAAACACTGGCCCCAGACCTGGCCGCTACCTACACAATCAAAGTAACAGAATTAGCATAAAGAGATCTGTGTGTTTACTGCGGTAAAACTATATTCTGTCTGTTATACAATGTCAGGTAAGATGGGATATTTACCTGCTCTTTGCTCGGCGTATGTACAACAGTAGTACTGTGACGGTGACAACGCCGGTGGCGATATATAGAGAAACACAGCTTCCCGTCGTCTCAGCCATAGTGCTTGATCCACACACGTGCACTGCGGTTTGCACATGTATCGCCAGCGCTTGCTTTATATCAGAGAGTTGCACTGATTAATAACCGCTAGAGATTGACACGCCCACATTTTTGTCCATCATTGAAACTCCTTAAATTGTCGTCACTATTCGATGTCGTGAGCTGACGAGGAAGACCAGGCCTATTCTCCCCACGTTCAGAGAAACACTTAGCTTATTGTGCACACAGAGACTGAGTGATTCTCTCACCCCTCACGATTGACTCGTCTACCTGGTGTTGCCCTAGGGCTTAACGCTGTGAATTAACGTAGATCGGGCTAATAGGATTTGTGTGGGTAGGTAGGGTGTACGGCAGTTGGATAAAGGTGACACATGTTTTAGCCAATCACTTAATTGAATTATGTGACGTCACTTGACGCTTCGTTTATGACAGTGAGCTATGATCTAACTCTCACCAACCAATGGGATACCCACCTTTTGTTCCGCTCAAGAGTCAAATATTATTTCGGGAGTCCTACCTCAGTTACCTCCCCTGTCTATCACGTTAAATGGACGTTCGATATAAATTGTTTTCATAGCTCGCGGTGAAGCAGTTTAGCTTCTTCAAATACACGTGTATGAAAGGCGGGAGTGGTTCACATAGCAGCGTTATTAGGGCGGGTAAGATCTGCGCCAGTTACGGGTAGGCTGGGTTCTGAGAGGCTGAAAGAAATCTATCTGGAAAGAAAACACACTCCTTAGGTCGTATATACTGAGTTGTCTCAGATAAGATAACGGGGCCTTTAACACGATTAAGGAGAAAACTGAAAATCCATAGATCTTCCTTTTAAAATGAAATTTAATACATTGACAGAGGCACCTATATATATTGATATGGCATATGACTATAACGTTGACGTGAGGGAAGTAGGAGTGAAACCGCGTTATTCTGAACCCCGAGAATCCGGAAACCCTTATGTGACATTCCTTTATTCAACGTATTATTCAATGTAAATATTATATAATATAAAACCATAATAGGGTATAACTTAGACTGGCATAAAGTCTCTTAAATGAATATATTTAAAGATGTGTTGGTCGTTGTCTTTAATATAAAACATAAACAGAGCCAAGAGAATTCCGCCAGTTACAGTTCAAGCATTGTAGCCTTGCTTTGAAGCATGGTAGCTCTGTATTGGACTAACATTAGTCTCTGAAATCTTATATTACACAATATCCTTCTTAACTTAAATAAAATAAATCCCTATGCTGATTTCATATGGAATAGAAGAGCTAGCTAGAGCTGGCTAGACTTGCTTGCGTTTCTAGATTTTTTAAATAAAATAAATATATTCCACAGTCATGGTGCAGGACTAGCTCTGTATGTGTGATTCGTTAATCCAGACACTGGCTGATCGGAATTCACACGGAGATGATGATGTTTGGGTGAAATAGTGTCGAATGTTGTGTGAATAATTTAATGGATAGTCAAACACCACATACTATGTGGCACTGTATACGCTCATAAGTCTCATCAGGGTAACACATGGTGTATTTATTTACTCTACTACGTGTACCTCGTTGAAATTATATGTTGTGAAAATTATTTTTCACATTGATTTCGAGTTTAGCCAACCTTTGTCAACCGGGCGATGGGACTCGCGATACATTAATGTATCTTTGAATCATGATATTTCGTATCTGCTATTTCCCTTGAGGCTGGTGACGAAAAAATGAATTGTTTTAGAAACGGCACTGTAGTGAAGGGTACGCAAGTGATAACCCCCAAAGTTGATGCCCCGCACTAACAGATGCGTGTTGGTATCGCTTCAAACCTGCTAACCTGCTTTACTGTCTATAATACAGTAAACTACGTTTATAACGAACACGCTTATAACGAACTGACGGATATAACGAACATATTTTTTGTCTTGACCATGTGCTATATATATGGTGCAAATATGCTTATGCTCTCCCAGTTACCAGTCAGAAGTTTCATCCTGGATATTTCTGCTCATGTATATTTCTCGGTATTCATTCTGTTAAACAGTTGGGTAATAAGCAGTTCAAGGGATTTATACCACAAAGAATATTTGTCAAGCAGCAAATAACATTTAAGCCTGAAATAAAGCAGCATAGTGTTAAAATGTTTCCGAGACCATAATATATTTTCCAGTAATTAGATGTCCATGTGTTGAACACCGATTATCATAAGCTCATAATACCACTGACGCGAAAAGTAAGGAGAGCATTTCATTTCATATTATACCCATTTTTATTTATGAAAACCTTAAATAACTGAGTTGAATTTACGAGTGGAAATACCCAGAGTGAGGCGAGAGTTGGGCGAGATACTAAGAGGTATGCCTTACCAATTTTGTTGAGGTCGAAACAAAAATGATTAATGCACAAGAAATGTTAACAGCAAATATTTCAATGGAAGCCGACATCTGTCCTTTTCAGTTTCTTTGAGAAGCCACAATGCAGCAACAGCTATTATAGTGTTGTTTCGCAATGACTATAGTGCAGTGGTAACGTACCGTGAGGGTCGTGAATTGTATCTCTCTGACAGCTGAATGTGCTGTTATAGGACCTGTCTTAACACAGAAAGTTTCACCATTGACAGTGGTTACCATATTCATTTCTAAAGTAGGGAGTCATTTTCTCCTCTGTCATATCTTTAGTCACTGATCACAATGTCAGTAAAGCGGGACATACTTTAACAACAATATTCCCGAGTGTCAAATACATGGAGGGATTTCTTGGAGAACTTCCACAACAGTCCACAATACCTTGCCTAGTCTTCCTCACAGTCCCCGAACAATATTATTTTCCCTAACGCCCAGCCCTTACTATAATGTTATAGTCCTAAATGAAGAAAGTCTAGATTTTCTACAGGTTCACTAGGGCTCTTTTACAACTTAAATGTAGCTGTTTGTTTCTATCAAAATTATATATTTTCAGAGACAAAGCGTTAGTCTATACTTGGTCTATCAGTGCCGCCAGGGGAAAGTATTAGTTATCAATAACCATGTTATATCCCATACCGCGATGTTACATCTTACATCATGAATAGCCTTAGCAAGGATGCTGCATTTACAGGTAGGTACATGGATATCTGCAGTACAGGTAGGTACATGGATATCTGCAGTACAGGTAGGTACATGGATATCTGCAGTACAGGTAGGTACATGGATATCTGCAGTACAGGTAGGTACATGGATATCTGCAGTACAGGTAGGTACATGGATATCTGCAGTACAGGTAGGTACATGGATATCTGCATTTCAGGTAGGTACATGGATATCTGCATTTCAGGTAGGTACATGGATATCTGCAGTACAGGTAGGTACATGGATATCTCCAGTACAGGTAGGTACATGGATATCTCCAGTACAGGTAGGTACACGGATATCTGCAGTGTAACTGACATTCTCTGCAGGATCACATGAACTAACCGTGATTGTCTTTCTAATAATCATATTAGGAGGTTGAGAAGCATATTTATCGCCTTCTCTTCTTTAACGATTTGAAAGATCGTTTCCTCTTTAAAGACCAAAGATTATATTTTCTTAAACAAAATATTGCAACTTATGTCTAGATGTTTATGTGTTTATTACACAAGTTCTGGGAAATGTCTGGCTATTTAAAATCAGTGTTGAGATGTGCATAAGTTTGAAAGGAACAGTTTTAGGTGTGATTTTTTAAAACTTTTGGCTTCAGTGAATGTCATTTATAAAGCTTATTGTTTGTCAGCACGATATATAAATGAACATTACTATGCCCACTGTTATTAATATAAACACACAAAGATCATGCACTTCTTATATGTTTGGTTGATAATGCAGTGAAAACTATTCACGTATGCTGTGTGAACAATCTAATACGGGCGTCTGTTTTCATCTTCACGAGTTTATCCCGGTACGTTTCCAAACATATTTGGTTTGAAAATATTTACCAGGTGCAATATGTATCAGACACACAGATGAAGTTGAAGATGAAAAGTAAAAGTATACTTTTGTCAGGAAGACTGTGAGTTGTCGATACTTTTGAAAATATATATAAGTTCGCACATATTTGTATTGTCGTGTGTTCGTGTTTAGTGAGTGAGTGAGTGAATATGGTTTTACGCCGCTTTTAGCAATATTCCAGCAATATCACGGCGGAGGACACCAGAAATGGGCTTCACACATTGTACCCATGTCGGGAATCGAACCCGGGTCTTCGGCGTGACGAGCGAACGCTTTAACCACTAGGCTACCCGACCGCCCCTGTTCGTGTTTAAGTCAGACGTGTCAAAACTCATCTGCGACATACAGTGACAAGTAGAATGAGAGAGTGACGGGGAGCTCGCAGGGGAGCCGAGAGAGCGTTGTGTACACCTGCGTGTAGACGATCTCCGGCGAACTCTCTGGAATGTCACATGCCTGTGACACGACGGTTGCATGAATGCAGCAGACTGCTTCGGAGATGCTGTAGCGGTGTGTCACATTCCTTCGTATATATCATCATATTTCGTCACGCTTATTGCCATCTATTTGGTTACAGCGTGTGTGTATCACACCATCAGTCACATTTTCACAAAAGTATTTCAGAGGATGCTACCACCATAGCCATATGATGTATTTCTTTACCAAAATGTATCATCTATAAGAGCACGTGTATAAAAGAAATGATTGCACAAATCATACCCACTCTACGAAAATTCAACTACGAGGCATTATTATTATCATTATCATTATTATTATTATTATTATTATTATTATTATTATTATTATTATTTACAGATTAAAATAAATAAATGCAGCAAAGAGGGTTTAGGTGATCCCTGCACAGTCAGGCCGGTTAGGCTCATCATCAGCTCAGGGCCCTTGCCCCCACGCAGCCCAGACAGCGAAAAGGTCTTCTCCCAGAAAGCGTTGCCTAGTCGAACTCAACCAGAACGTTTCGGAGAATGTGGAGACTCCCCTAACCTGCAGCCTGCTGCATTACCCAGATTGTCAAAGGGCTGTAATCGTGACAGCAAATCCGGGTACTCTCCTAATGTCAGACAACAGATTGGGAGGTACCAAACCTAAGGCACCAAGAACAATGGGGAGTCGGACAACTTGGTACTTTTGGTGCAAGAGTGACATTTCGAAAGCGAGGTCCGCATATTTGCCATGTTTTTCCAGTATCTTGTGTTAATCACATTCGCGTCAAACGGGACAGAAAATAATATAAATAATTTCATTGGATTTATCAAAAAGGACAAGATCAGGTTTGTTGGCCTTGATACGTCTGAGACTGTATACGGGCCTATTCCAAAGAAGTTTGTATTTATCATTTTC